GAGCCTGGCCAATATAAGCAACTTTTTGCCAATGGGTCTGAGATCTTGGAGTCCTACTCATGGCTCTGCCAGTGTGAACTATACATATTCACTCAGCATTTCACTTCTGTAGGGCTTTCTCTGCAGTCTACATTCTGCAAGTCTGAGGATTCAATACCTGGAACCCACATAAAATAGAAGAAAGAATACTAACCCATGGAAGTTGTCCTCCTACTTCCACACATAACCATATTACTCAACTATACAGAATAAAAAAACAAGCAAAACCTCTCTACAATGATAATAAATATTTTAAATAAATACAATTTTCCAGATAAATGCTTTTGAAATTACTTTTAAATTGATGGCGATTGAAGTTTATTGACCATTGTTTTAATTAAAAAAATCTAATTTTCTTGCATGTATAAATTTATATATATATAAACCTAGATATAGCTTTGATTTTCCTTTATTTGAAATAAAAATGTATACAACATAATTGCTGTGGAGTTAATTATGCTTGGTTTTATGTTGTATACTACCATTCTTATTTTTCTTTTTAATATTTTTTTCTGCAGATTGTAAGCAGGCTTGTTCAAATTCGTGACTATATTACTAAAGCTAGTTCTATGCGAGAAGATCTTGTAGAGAAAAATGAAAGATCTGCTAATGTTGACCGCCTTACTCATCTAATAGAACACCTTAAAGAACAAGAAAAGTCATATATGAAGTTTCTCCAGAAAATCCTTGTAAGTTTTGGACTTTTAAGTGATGTATGTTGAGTTATTTTTATGATGTACCATGTGCAAATACTGATGACATTTTGATGCCATTCCAGAGGCTTTAACATATTTTCAAAAATCGTGCCATCCTTTATAACATTTTTGTTGCCCTTTTTAATAGTTGTATGATTTATACTACTAAAATATTTCAGGCTAGAGAAAATGAGGAGGAGGATGTTCGGACTATAGACTCAGCTGTGGGATCTGGTTCTGTAGCTGAGAGCACATCGCTAAACATAGATGTGCAGTCTGAGGCTTCAGATACCACGGTAAGCGCCTTTTTGGTAATTAAAGTGCTGGAAATGAAGATTTAAGGTTTCCTCCATTTTTCAATATGATATTTTTTGTCATTCTTTAATAAAAAGTATATTCTAGGAAAGAAACCCTCAAATTGTTAATGGTATATATAGTTTCTAGACTTAGAAGTTTGGAAGCTTTATTACTAACGTTAAGATTAGTTTTTAAGGGCTGGAGGGATGGCTCAGTGCTTAAGAACACTGGTTGCCCTTTCAGAGGACCCGGGTTCAGTTCCCAGCACCTACATGGCAGCTCTCTGCTGTAAGTCTGTTGCAGTTCCAACACCTTCACACTGAGACACATGCAGGCAAAACATCAATGCACATAAAATAAAAATAAGTAAATAATAATAATAATAATAATAAAAACAATAATGAAAGATTAATTTTAAAGGTTTGAATTAGAAATTAGTCATTTCTGAATTTTAGTGTGCAGAAATGTCTGTACATGTGGTTTTGACCAGCACAGCTTTCCTAATTTTAAGAAGCTTTGGCCAAGTTAGAATTTATTGTAGGTGTAAGAACTGTTAGTATCACTAGTGTGTGATACTTATGATTATTATGCATGTAATTGCTGGAGAAGTTTTTATGCTCATTTGCTGATAAGCACTCATTTGAACGTGCTAAGATTTTTTATTTCTCATGTTGTAGTACTATAGTGAAGCTAGATGTCTAAAACATTGAAATAAAGTCTAATAAGACAGGATAATATTGACATTATTTACTGTCAGTGAAGAAAAAGTAATGTGGTTTCTATAAAGTAAAATTAATAAAAGACATTTGTCCCTTGGGAAAATAGTAATTTATATAACTTTGGAGAAAGAAAAGGTTATAAGATTGATCAAGTTCATAGAATGTACATTTCAAAACTGCTTTGCTTTTAAACATTTTTATTTAAACAGATGTGCCTTTATTCATGCACTTGTCTGAAGTGCATGTGGTAACCACTACAGTGTAGAAACATAATCATGTACTTGTAACTATTAAACACATAGTATTAGTAATCCTTTTCTTTTGAAAGGATTAGTACCTATGTCTTTTATTTTTTACAATATATTTCAAAATATCATTCACTATTAGGAATTTGAGGGTTTGTTTCCTTTTATTACTGCTCTACAAATTTATATGCCTCTTTTTTCCTTTCTTTCCTTCTTAGTCACTATTTATTATTATTTTTTTTTTAAATAAGAAATTTGAATGTTTTTCTTTCTGTTTAGGAAATACTCAGGGGGCTTGATCCAAACAGTTGTTTAAAAATGAATTCTGCTTTGGAAAGTTGTTTTCTCTTCATAGCGGTGCTGGGAGTAATTTCTCCCTTTACATACCAGCAGAAGCAGAAGGGCTGGGACAGGCTGGTTAAAGGATTTAATTGAAAATGTATGGGAAATGGTATAGTTGATTTTAATTTACTTACTAAAATCCAAAGTGTTACTATGATGAGAATTTCCTTTATAATCATGTAAAAGTATGGCCTTTTATAAATTATTATGTACCAGGATAAATGTTAAAATATGCTGTTTATTCTACAGAAACTTAAATGTCTAATTAAATTTACTACCTCTTGGGGGCTGGATTTGGGTTAAAATTTTTAAAAGGTGAAATGAGACATTTTTCTATTTATTTACAAGGCTGGCTTATATGTTAAACAGGAGTTTTTGTTAAGAAATTAATATGCTACACTATTTAATAAAGGAGGCATCTTTTAGTCTGAGAATTCGGCCCTGCATTGAGGACAAACTAGGGAACTCAGCTTCACAAGAACAGGTTTCAGACATTGACGTTACAACAAGTCCAAAAGGGAAAGGTGAAAGAGCTCTTCAGAATGACAGGGAACTGAGAACTAATAGGAAATATAGCCGAAAACGTGGATTTCCCTCAAAGGTATACTTCACAACGTTAACTCGGGAAGTCTTTAAATGAGCAGCTCTTATTGCTATTTGTTCCTTATTTGCTTTTCTGTTAACTGCTATTAGTCTTAACTCTGGAAATTATTAACACCATTTAATATACTGTAATATGTTTTAGTAAAATGCTATTGCTAAGTGTTTTTATTTCTTTTTGTTTTAGAATACACCTCTGCATTGATAAAATATGGTTTACAATTATAAAGGATTAGAATAGGAAATTGGGTTTTTTTTGTTGTTGTTGGTTTGTTTTTGCTTAGAGTATATAAAAACATTTCTTAAACCTTGGCTGACAATTGCTTTTGTTTATGTTAGTGTTTATGAATTAAAATGATACTTTACATTTTTGTATTATTACTATAGAAGTTCATTAGAGAAAAAGAAAATAATATATGCTATTAGATTTTCTGTCCTTAATGGAAGAAATGCTTTTTTCCTGGTTTTTGGTTTGTAATTATGTTACTGTTTTAAAACCCTTTCTTCTGATTTCTCCCTTTTGGATTAAAAGATTTAGTTAGTTGATTTGCTCATTGATGTTTTAATGTTTTGCTAGGTTTCTTTTTTCAGTGTTTGATTTAATGATCTTCCTTTTAGTTTCTTGTGATTTGTATAAAGGCACTTACACTTATTAAGATAAGTGAAAAGAACCATTTGTGTAGCTTTTCTAATACATTTGAAATAAAATAGCATTTGTAAAAGCCTGTGTGCCCTTTCAGCAAGAGTAAAACTCTTCTTTTAGTTTAGGGTACACCAGAGCAATTTCCTAAGTGTTATTACTAGCTTGTTACCAATGATCTTTCATTTGTAGTTATGTTTTCTTTTCTTTTTGATGTTTAAAGTTGAGAAAAAACTTAACCTCAAATATTTTGGCAGTTTGTGTTTTTTCATGACTTTTTGGGGGGGGGTTGGGGGATCATTAATTTCACAAAGTAGTAAGCTAAAGATTCCCCCATCTGAGCAGAAAAGTACCTGGTTATCTTTAGACTTTATAGTTTTGAAGGGGAAAAATGAATGTGAGCTACTGTAGGTAATGCTTTAAAACTTGTTTTCCTACTTTCTACAATTGGCAGCCACTGCAGCACCTTGGCCAGGTCTTTTCCCCTGTGGTGGTACATTTATGTAACAAACAAACAAACAAACAAACAAAAAGAACAAAAAGCTCTTCTGTTTCTAAGTCTCTTGGAAAGTATTCTTATAGATGAGAATTATTGTATCTTAAGCTTCCTCAGGGATTTGTTTCAATTTAACTATCCTTAATCTTGAGATTTTTAAAAAAATATTTTGTATGTGAGTGCTTGTGGTGAGTCATAGCATGCATGCGGAGATCAGAGGACAATCTGTATTATTCTCCCTCTATCATGTGTGTTTTGAGGATTGACTCAGGCCATCAGACATAATAGTTAGTATGACAAGCTCTCTAATCTATTGAGACATCCTGCTAGCCCTAGTCTTGATTCTTAAGGTCATCTCAGTGCAGCTCACTAGTACATAATTCACAAAGTCATTTTAATTAAACAAAATATTAATTCCTACCAGCTGACTTTTAATTTCTCTCTGCTTATAAAGCCTGTTACTCTCAAAATCCTTTTTATTTCTTCCTTCCTAAGAAACCTTTCAAAATGTATTGTGTTTGGAAAAGGTTTGAGGTCTTATCTTGGAATCAGAGCTGATAATGAAATTATAGATAGTTTAGCCATATCTATCTATGTAGGCTAATTTCTTTTTTGGCTGTATTTTATAGACATAACATAGGCCCTTCTTGTATACCCATGCTTATCTGCTTATCTGTGCTTTTTCGGGATGGGTTTACAAATGGGAACCACCAGGCCTTGCCTTTTCTTTCTTCTTCTTCTTCTTCCTCCTCCTCCTCTTCTTCTTCTTCTTCTTCTTTTTTTTTTTTATAACAGTTTTGAGGATCTAACTCAAGTTCTTGTCCTTATAAGGCAAGCAATTCAATTTGCCACATCACATATCCCATTTAAGACGGGGCCTTGGCTAGGGTGGAACTCCCATGTACACCACACTGGCCATGAACTCACAGATACACACCTGCCTCTGCCTCTCAAGTACTGAGATGAGAGGTATGTGTCACCACACCCAGCTTCTCAGCTTTCTTTGTAATTGATTATAAATACCAATCTGAAAGGTAAATTATATGAATATAAACGTTGTTAGTGGTTATAAACTTCCACTAAACTTTCAGATTCTTCTTAACTTTCTCTGTGTACTTAACTGTAAGCTATGTGCTTTTTTTGTTCACTCTCTTTTTCGTTTCTAAGTCACAATGTAAAATGTTGTCATGGTTAACCATTCTCATTTCCAATATTGATGGTTCTGCTTGGGAGGAGGGAGATGGAAGAGGCTTTGTGCAGCACTGGTGAAGGATGCCATCCAAGAGGAAACTTCTTGAACTGTCTTGTGTTTCCTGTGGTTTCTCTAGAAATCACATGTGCCTGGGAAAAGTAGATCAGTGCATTCATTTTTACTTTCAAAAGAAATGATTGAACTTTTCACTTGCCTGAGGAATATTACGGGGAAATCATTTAAAATTTTGTAATTCCAACAAAAATTTATTAGTGTGGCAAATTTAAAACCAAATCAGTACATAAATGAATATTTTATGTTCAAGGAGTACAATAAAGAACTTTAAAATTTTGATAGTAATTCATTGATGAAGAATATTATTACAATAATTACCTACATAATTCGGCTTAAAATTTATTGTTTGGGGGCTGTATTTACATTTCTGTTTTTGATTAGTTTTGTTCAGCATGATTTAAATTTAAATTTTTTGTATGTGTATGGGTTTTTTTTTTTGAACACACAGGGTCTTTATGTATACTAAGCAAGAACTTTACCATTAAGCCATTCCACCAGCCACATGGTCATTATTTCTGTTTAAAATTTTTTGTTTTAAAATTTATTTTGTATGTATAAATGTTTTACGTGTGTGTGTGTGTGTGTGTGTGTGTGTGTGTGTGTGTGTGTGCGCGCGCGCGTGCGCGAGCATCCTATGCATGTCCGGTGCCTACAGAGGTCAGAAGAGGCTGTTAGATCCCTTGGAACTGGAATTACAGATAATTGTGAATCTGTGTGAGTGCTGGGAACTGAACATTGCTCTTCTAAAGAGCCACAAGTGCGTGTACCTGCTGAGCCACCTCTCTAATCCCATTGGTAGTTTCTTCTGAGTAGTCCCAATTTAATTCTGTTCTGTTGCATGTAGAGAGGGTGATAAATAATTAGTGTATTGGAAGTTTGGAAATATTTTCTTGTGTTTTATGACCCAAACTCAGCTGAATAGACATAATTTGAGTTAAAAACTAATAAAGATATTGATACAAAATAAAGTTTTCTGTTTTGTTATATACTTAATGTGCTTCAGTTAGGCCTTTTTACAGAAGTTAATCAACAAATAGATTTTAAAATTCTTGACCTTGATTAGAAGTTAGTATGTTTATACTCTTTGTCTGCTCCCCCCTCTCTCTTTGGCTTTTGTTCTTAACTTTGCTTTTGTTGTATATGATAAAATACCATCTTCTGGGGTGGGGTTGGAATTTTTGTTACCTGGTTTGTTTTAGAGAAAATCTTTCAGAACATTAACTCAGTATACTCTGTAGTTGTTGTTTTCCCTGTTGTTTTGTTTACAACATGTACAGCTCCGTTTGCCTTCTTAGACTTTCAACCTGTTTTGTAAGAGATTTTTTTTCCCTTTTAATTCTTTCTCATAGTTTTTCACTGTGAAATTACCTAATTCCTAATGTGGGACACAGCAGTCTAAGTTTATTAAAACTGTATCTTGAGTTGTGTTTTCAATTGAAAGTAGTATCTGTGCTTTTCTTTGCTACTGGCAAATGAAACAGGACCATGTATTTCAACAGTCAGTTATCAGTATTGTTGGTCTTATTTTTCAGGCCAGAGATCCTCAACAGGAGCCTATGGAAGAGACAGAAAATTTGAAGAAACAACATGATTTATTAAAAAGAATGTTACAGCAGCAGGAGCAGCTGCGAGCACTACAGGGAAGACAAGCTGCTCTTCTAGCTTTGCAGCATAAAGCAGAGCAGGCTATAGCTGTGATGGATGATTCTGGTATGTGACAGTTGTAGAAGATTTTTATAAGAGGCTCATTAACTTTGCATTGCAAAGTGAATGCTGTTATTATATAGTCATATCTTGGTTCTTAAGTAGTTGAATAACCTGCAAGCAAGGCTTACTCTTGTCCTATGCTTTTCTCTGCTTATACAGAAAAGGTTGTAGGAACAGCTCTTGGCTATTATATATACCATGCAGACAGTTCTCTCTCATCAGAGAGTACCTTTAAGATGTAAAAGAGACAGGCCTGTGTGTAGTACTGTGTAGTAACCTCAGAGTGATAGGACTGTAGATGCTTTTGTTTCCACCTTTGGGGATTACTTTTTGGTTTTTGTTTTCTTTTTTTTTTTATCTCACTTAAGAGTGTTGTTCTTTTTTATTTTTAGTTAATTTATTTTTTTAATTCTTTATTAATTACACTTTATTCACTTTGTATCCCCACTGTGGTTCCCTCTCTCCTCCCGTCCCAGTCCCTCCCTCCCTCCACCCTCTGCATGCATGCCCCTCCCCAAGTCCTCTGATAGGGGAGGTCTTCTTTTCCTTCCTTCTGATCCTAGTCAATTAGGTCTCATCAGGAGTGGCTGCAGTGTCTTCTTCTGTGGCCTGGTAATGCTGCTTCCCCCTTAGGGGGAGGTAATTAAAGAACAGGCCAATCAGTTCATGTCAGAGACAGTCCCTGTTCCTATTTTATTAATTACAGTTTATTCACTTTGTATCCAAGCTGTAGCCTCCTCCCTTATATCCTACCAATCTCACCCTCTGTCCCTTATCTCCTCCCATGCCCCTCCCCAAGTCCACTGATAAGGGAGGTCCTCCTCCCCTTCCATCTGATCCTAGTTTATCAGGTCTCAGCAGGACTGTCTGCATTGTCTTCCTCTGTGGCCTGGTAAGGCTGCTCCCCCATTAGGGGGAGGTGATCAAAGAGCCAGCCACTGAGTTCATGTCAGAGACAGTCCCTGTTCCCATTACTAGGGAACCCACTTGGACACTGAGCTACCATGGGCTACATCTGTGCAGGGGTTCTAGGTTATCTCCATGGATGGTCCTTGGTTGGAGTATCAATCTCAGAAAAGACCCCTGGGCCCAGATATTTTGGTTCTGTTGCTCTTCTTCTGGAGCTCCTGTCCTCTTCAGGTCTTTCTATCTCCCCCTTCTTTCATAAGATTCCCTGCGCTCTGCAGAAACTTTGGCTATGAGTCTCAGCATCTGCTTTGATACCCTGCTGGGTAGAGTATTTCAGAGGCCCTCTGTAGTAGGCTCCTATCCTGTTCCCTGTTTTCTCCTTCTTCTGATGTCTGTCCCGTTTGCCTTTCTGAATGAGGATTGATCATCTTACCCAGTGTCCTCCTTTTTGCTTAGCTTCTTTAGGTGTACGGATTTTAGTATGATTGTCCTATATTATATTTCTAATATGCACTTATAAGTGAGTATGTACCATGTGTGTCTTTCTGCTTCTGGGATACCTCACTCAGGATGATCTTTTCTAGTTCCCACCATTTGCCTGCTGATTTCATGATTTCCTTGTTTTTAATAGCTGAGTAGTATTCCATTGTTGTTCTTTATTTGCCTTGCAGTGAAGGTTTAAAAATTCTTACATAAGCCAGACCTGATAGACAACCTGTAATCCCAGCACTCAGAAGGCTGAGGCAGGAGGTTCAGGAATTCTCAGGGTGTGAGGCGATGGCTGAGTTGGTAAAGTGCTTGTCCCACAAGCATTAAGGATCTTAGTTTGGGTCCTCAGCAACCATATAAAAGCCAAGTGCTGTGGTATACATCTACTGGAAGGGTCAGAGAGAGGAAGCTACCCAGGGTTAGGTGTTCTAGCCAGTTGATGATCTTTGGGCTCAAAAACAAGATTGAGAGTGACTAAGGAAGATAACCAACATTGACCTCTGGTGCGCACTCCCCCAATACTTCATAGTGAGACTGCCTCAGAAAATAAAGTGGGAGGGCTGTAGGTTTGCCTGTGTAAGTATGCTCTGAATTCAGTCGAGCACCTGGAGAAGATGAAAACAGATGGGAAAAAAAGTCTAAAAAGCAGTAAATTAATAGAGCATCTTTGGATAGTTAACTGAAATAACAGAACTACTAACACTAAATACTAGTTTTGTATATGAGCTTTTAAAGATGCTATTTACATTACTCAGTTTTTGTGAGACACAACTTTTTCTTTCTCTTTTCCTTATAGCTGTGTATCATTTAAGTGACAATTGAATTGCTCAGTATTGAGTCTTATTTTGTAGTTTGTCGTATTGTCTTCAAACCTGTTTTAAATTTTCATTTAAAAGTAAGATTGTTGCTTATTAAAACTCACAAGGTTAAGGGTTTTTCTTTTTAGTTTTATTTTTAATTGACAGATAATTGTTTATATTTGCAAAGACTCTTCCTTTGGCTTAGTTATGTTTGTTCTCAATTGTCATAGTTTATCTTTGAGTATTATAATTATGCCATTTTGTTTTGCTGTTTCGGTGACATAATAAGTTTCATGAGAATTGCATACAGGAACGTGGGTTATTTACAGTATTAAGAATAACTAACTAGAGGCTGGCTGCGCAACAGCACAACTGAAATACTGTCTATTTTCTGCCCATCAGCCCTTAAACTGTCAGGTAATCCTCATGGAACAGCAGGACACACAAAGTTTCTAATCTGTTCTCCAGTCTTGGGTAGTTGAATTTATATCTCATTAGATCACCAGAATTGTAGGCTACTAGCTAAGGCATTTACTCTTGTCTTAGAACTGTTTTATAGAGAAGGACATCAAATACAGTTTCTGACTTGGCTAGAAACTGGACTCGCAAAGTTCCTAATCTGTTCTCCAGTTTTGGGTAGTTGAATTTACATCTCATTTGATCACCAGAATTATAGGCTACTGGCTAAGACATTTCCTCTTGTCTTGGAACTATTTTATAGAGAACGACATCATCAAATACAGTTTCTGACTTGGCTAGGCTTTGTATAGATTTTAGTAGAAATCTATTGATTTAGATTAAGTATACAAATAATTTCTTTTACAACCCAGGAGATTGAATTTGAACTTTATATACTCCAATAGAAATTTTAGCTTAATAATTTTAGAACAATTTTGCTTCTGCGATTATGAAGTTTTATTAAAGAAAACTGATGAAAGCACCATCAAAGATATGACACACCTGCATTGGGGAAGAATGCTTTTTCCTACTGTCTAGCAATTTGTTTATTAGTTATCTAAATTGTAATTTTGGTACACAGAGAGTTTAGGCTAGAAAAGGGTTTCTGTCAGTCCTGAAATACTAGTTTTAGTTTTTTTGTTTATTTTTTTTGGTTTGGGGTGGTTCTTTGTTTTTGTGTTTTAGCAGAAGATGATGGTATTTTCTTAAAAAGAAAAAAAAAAAAGTTTGTAGCTTGCAGCCTCATTTAAAATTAGAAATATAAAAGTGAGGATGAAAATGGAATAGTAGAGCAGTAAGTATTTTCAAAATTTTCTTAAGAAATATACTTTTGGAGGATGAGGGGATTTTGTGTTTTGGGGGGGTTGTTTGTATTTTTGGGGGCTTGTTTTGTTGTGTTTTGTTTTGTTTGAGACAAGGTTTCTCTATGTATCCTTGGTTGTTCTGGATTCAATTTGTAGACCAGGTTGTCCTCAAACTCACAGTGATCCCACTGCCTCTGCCTCCCTAAGTGCTGGGATTTAAGGTGTGCACCACCACACCCGGTTCTGTTTCGTTCTTAATGTAGATGATAAAACCCAGGGTCTTTTTTGTATTTGCTGAATCATAAGCAACTACTTCAATAAATTTATCTGTTCAACAAAGCCCTTGCCAGCTGGATTTGGTCTACTCTTTAACATGGTTTTATGCAACACTGCCATTCTTGCTAACTTTTCCCCATCAATGGGAGAACTGGGTAGTCAAGACAAGAACTGTATTCAAGAGAGCCATGCTAATTTTCAGTCTGTACTTTGTAAAAACAAAACAAAACAAAACAAAAACTTTCTCATTCCTGTACTACAATATTGGTTTTCTTGGAGGAGGTAGAAATAGAGACCTTTCAGAGTCAGCACTGTTCCTATAAAGATACTGAGAGAGCTGGGTAGTGCACACCTGTAATCCTAGTATTCTGGGAGGCAGAGGTAGGCAGATCTCTGTGAGTTTGAAGCTAGCCTGGTCTACAAAGTGAGTCCAGGACAGACAAGGCTACACAGAAAAAAACCCTGACTTGAAAAAGAAAAAGAAAGAAAGAAAAAAGAAACCTAGAGAGCCATCCTACATCTAACCCAAGGAGTCACGTTTATTAATTAGGATTGCAATACTAGCCTTCCTTATATGTTGAGATTGAAAAACATGAGTCACTTTACTAGAGTTTAGTAGTTGTCCCTTTATTTTTCTGTTAGCTTTAAGCTTCTCATAAAATGATTGGCTGACAGATAAGTAAAATAATTAGAAGCTTCAAATGTTAGGGTGGCTCCCCCTTCATCAAAACTTATACTTACATTGACACTTCTTTATCCTGAATATATTATTTATTTAGTTGTTACAGAAACTACAGGAAGCTTATCTGGAGTCAGCATCACATCAGAACTAAATGAAGAACTGAATGATTTAATCCAGCGTTTCCATAATCAGCTTCGTGAGTCTCAGGTAACTGGTTTATATAGTTAAGCTTAGAAATCACATTAATTAACCCAGTGGTTCCCAACCTGGTTTAATTGTTTAAAAAATGAATACACAGAGTCTTTCACCCTCCAAAATTATGATTCTTAAGATTTGAGTGGCCCCATATGATCCCATTGCTATTCTTGACATTATCCCTTGAGAAACTCTTGTTAGAAAAGAATCTACTTTTTAAAGATTTATTTTATGTGTATGTGTGTACCTAAATGTTTTTATGTATCATATGTATACAGAGGCCAGAAGAGGGCATCAGATACCCTGGGACTGGAGTTATAGGCAATTGTGAGAGGTTTAATGTGCATGCCAGGATCAAACCTGGGTCCTCTGCAAGAGCTCTACACTACTGAGCCATGTATGCATACCCAGAAAAGATATTTTAAATGTGCTGAGTAGTAAGGTTTTCCCTGTGTAGGCTGTTAGATGGACATTCTTTTTACTTCTTTTAAACACTAGGTAGATACAAGTTTTAAGAGGAAGTTTGGCAGGGTATAGTGCTACATCTTTAATCCAAGCACTCGGAGGCAGAGGCAGGTGGATCTCCAAATTCAAGGCCAGCCTAGCCAGGGCTATAATGAGACCCTGTCTCAAGAAGACAGAGATTTAAAGTTAATGATGTCCTTGCATCATTTTATCTTACTGACAGTTTTAAGAAAGGCTTTTGGGAGAAGGGTAGTATTTTTAAAGCAAGGTCTTATTTGTAGGACAGACTGACAACAAATTTTCTATCTTTTCTGTGCTAGCCTCTTAAAGCACTAGGATTATAGGCTTATGCTGCTGTATCTAACAGAACAATTTTAGAATTAGTGTTTCAGTTTTGTGAACTTTGTAGAATAGTGATATATAGTGAATTGTTAGTGTAGGGGTCTTGTATAAGAATGGGTGAGCCGTTGCCCTCTCACTAGGAAAGGAAGTGACTGGTCTTGCCCACTAAAAAACATGAGTGTGGCCACCCATTTTGAGCAGTTATCTAGCAAAATGTAGTAAATTATTCCATCATACCCTATGTAAAGAATTTCTCAGATACTCAGGATTAGGTATAAGATTGTTGATTGAAGCATTGTGTTAAAAGCAAAATAGAAAACAAAAGGTCAATGTACAGTAAAATGCAACTTAATTGCCTTCATCTTAAATGGTCTTTTCTTTTTTTTCTCTCTCTCTTTTCAACTAAGCCTCCAACTGTTCCAGACAATAGAAGACAGGCAGAAAGCCTTTCATTAACTAGAGAGATTTCTCAGAGCAGAAATCCCTCAGTTTCTGAACATTTACCTGATGAGAAAGTACAGCTTTTTAGCAAAATGAGAGTACTACAGGAAAAGAAACAGAAAATGGACAAATTACTTGGAGAACTTCATACCCTTCGAGATCAGCATCTGAACAATTCATCATGTGAGTAAATCTGATTCAGCAGTATTATATAAAGGTCATGTAAGTATATATGCTGGCACATAATAGTTACTTAGTAAGTATTTGATAAGTTAATAAATGCAGTTTCACAAAAAAATTTTTAAAGTTTTTGAAGAAGAAACTTGAATCTAAAAAGCCACTATGTAGTAAGAGCCAAATAGATGCTAAATCTATTCATATAAGGAAAAAAAAAATGAAGTTGGGATAGTTCAGATGTAGTCTTTAGTCATTTTCTTTTTCTTTTCTTTTTCTTTTTTTCCTAGTCATTTTCTTAATCCTAGTTCCTGCCCCTCAGTAACAGGAACACTGAAGTACTAGAACTTAGAATCAGCTTGGGTAACCCCAGCTGGCCACTATTTCTGTAATATTCTAGTTTTTTCTGGATAAAAAGTTGTAATGGGTAAGAATACCATTTTTAGAATCCCCATTGTTGAGCTAGAAAAATAGCTCAGCAGTTAAAAGCACTTAACTGCTCTTGCAGAGAAACCAGGTTTAGTTCCCAGAACCCACATTAGGCAGCTCATAACTACCTATCACTCCAGTTCCAGAGGATCCAGTGCCCTTCTTGCGCATGATGTACATAAATTCACACAAGTATATATACATAAAATATTTTTAAAAATGCATCATTCAAAGTAACAAAAGAAACAGATGTTCTATTCTATGTTTTGTGTTTTGAGACTAGATTTTACAATGGAGTTCAGGCTCACTTCAAATTTGCAACACTCCAGCCTCAGTCTCCCCAGAGCTGGAATTATATGCTTACGTTGCCACATCCATCTTGGAATAGTTGTTTCTTATTCTTAATATTTTTCCTGTTTCTCTGCCACTTTTAAAGGAACCTTACTATTTTTGTCCTGAAACACTCATTTCTTCCTCTTTATGTCAGTTATCATCCTCTTCCTGTACATGATAATATCAGTTGTTAACTTTTATGAATAGAGGAAGACAACTAAGGAAAACTTAAAAATTTGCAAGGCATGTTTATAGCATTGTGTCAGTTTTATATGCAAAGAATACTTTGCTGTCTGGCAACTCTTTTTTTTTTAATTTTTATTTTTCTTTTAGTTACAATTTGTTAACTCTGTGTCCCAGCTGTATCCCGCTCCCTCATTCCCTCCCCCTCCCCAACTCCCTCCCTGGTCTCCTCCCTGCCCCTCTCCAAGTCCACTGATAGGGGAGGACCTCCTCCCCTTTCATTTGACCCTGTTTTATCAGGTATCTTCAAGGCTGGCTGCAAAGTCCTCCTCTGTGGCCTAACAGGACTGCTCCTCCCCTTGGGGGGGGGGGTGTCAAAGAGCCTGCCCTTGAGATCCTGTTAGAAATAGTCCTTGTTCCCCTTACTTTGGAAAACTACTTGGTTACTGAGCTACCACGGGCCACATCCGAGCAGAGGTTCTATGTTATATCCATAGATGGTCCTTGGTTGAGTGTCAGTCTCAGAAAAGACCCTGTGCCGGATATATTTGGTACTTGTAGAGCTCCTATCCTTTCCATATCATACTAACTCCCCTTCTTTCATATGATTCCCTGCACTCTGCCAAGGTTTGGTTATGAGTCTTAGTGTCTGCTTTGAAACACTGCTAGGTAGAGTCTTTCAGATGGCCTGGCAACTCTTAAAAGACCTCTCTTCCTTCTAGAAAACTGTATAAGAGCAGTAGTAAAAGGAAGAATGGTTAATAGTGTAAAGAGAGACCATTGAGACCAGCCGTAATAATTGTGGCATAAAAACAAGAAGGAAACGATGACAGTCTCATTGAGAAAGAAGCTTAAAAGCAGTAGGAGGTAGAAAAATTATGTCTCAATCATAAATTACCTGCTAGGCTTGGCCTTGTGTGTTCTATACATTATACATGGTGACCTTCTTTAACTTAACCTCTGACAAGTTTATCCTATTGTTCTTTTGGTTGTTTTTCTAGCATATCACATTGTAATTCTTGTCCGTTTCTTTCTTGTTTCTTCCTTATCTTCTATTTTAACTTAGTGGCTATAATGCAAAAGCAGTAGACTGTCTGGAAGGAAGAAGTAAAAATACTTTTTCTTTTGTACTTTGATTTGTTTAGTTGTGAATTATGTTCATAAGTGGACCATGTGTTTATATAAGCTGTATATTTTGTTTTGTTTGTTTATAAGTATCCAAACTAAATATAGGCTGCTTTGTACCATGTTTATATATGATAATTGTTTCTTTCTTTCTTTCTTTCATAGTCATGCCTTCAACTTCTCTCCAAAGAAGTGGGGATAAAAGAAGTTCAGCTGTAGCTCTCTCTGCTCCTGTAGGATTTGCACCAGTTGTCAATGGAGAGTCCAGTAGCCTTATGTCATCGGTTCCTTGTCCTGCTGCTTCTCTAGTTTCTCAGAATGAGAGTGAAAATGAAGGTCATCTAAATCCAGCTGAAAAACTACAGTAAAATACTTTTGCAATCATTCTTCACATTTATTAAATAATTAGAGTTAAATAATGTGGATAATTTTTTAAACCATTGAAAATTATAAGAAACTGAAGTTAATAAGATAAACATTCTTAAGATATATGGTGGAAGGAGGAGATATAATATATGTGAATCTTATCATTTGGCTAAAAGAAATATGACATCATGCAGGTAGTTTTTGTAAACTTCTGTTAATAATTTTTTAGAGAAAAGGTTAGAAATAGCAAGAAATATAGGTAAATATTTTAATATTCAAACAATAAGGCCTAGGCTCTAAAGTCATAATCCTGAAACTGTATTATACACAACTTTGTCAGTGTTAGCAAAACACTTACAAAGCCTCTGCTTCCTTATTGGCAAAATTGGATGATGTCTGTGGCATTTCAATACATGCTTTGGGTTTTTTGTTTTGTTTTGCTTTTTGTTTTTGTTTGCTCATCTGTTTTGAGATAGTGTCTCACTATATAGCCATTCTTTGCTGGCGTGGCACTTACTGTGTAGACCAGGCTAGCCTTGAACTCACAGAGATATGCTTGCCTCTGCCTCCTGAATTTCGGGATTAAAGACATGTAATAAACATGTTCAGCTGAAACTATTTTTTAAATTTGACAGATGCCCTGGGTACTTGGTCTAAATCTGTGTGTGTTTGTGTGTGTGTGTGTGTGTGTGTGTGTGTGTGTGTGTGTTTGTGTCTATATGTGTGCCAACTGCTATTAAGTGAAAATAACTTTGTTCCCCCTAAAATGGTGTTAATGTTACTTTTTTTAAATCAGGAAGTTAAATGAAGTTCAAAAGAGATTGAATGAACTGAGAGAATTAGTTCATTATTATGAACAGACATCAGATATGATGACAGATGCTGTAAATGAAAATACAAAAGATGAAGAAACTGAAGAGTCAGAATATGATTCTGAGCATGAAAATTCTGAACCTGTTACTAACATTAGGTGACAACATTTAAATTTGTTTTTCCCAATGTTTTTATCTGAAGTTAATGCATGTGTGGAGATGGAGTAGGGTCAGTACATCAGTGAAGTATTCATTGTTAGCTTATTTAAGCTTTTTCTTTGTAAGTTAACTGCTAGTGTAATAATTATTCTTGCTTTATTTAGAAAAAGAAGGAAATATGGAAGGCAATAATTTAGTAAAATTGTTACTGAATTCAACTAAATTTAAGAAGTATCAAAATTAGCATTTTCTTTTCTCACTGTTATACTTTAGTTTTATTTTGAATTTTCAGATGCTTTTGGTCATAAACTTCTATGTTTATGAAAAAGTTAATGAAAAGCAGGAGTCTGTTATTAAGAATTTGAGCTTAAATGTTTTAGTTAATGCTGTTCTTAGCTTAAAATTAGTTTATTATAGATCTATACGTCATTTTTTTAATTTTTATTTTTGTTGTTGTTTTAAATCTTGGCTTTAATTTCTTTCAGAAATCCACAGGTAGCTTCCACCTGGAATGAAGTGAATACTAACAGTAATACACAGTGTATTTCTAATAATAGAGATGGGAGATCAGTTAATTCTAACTGTGAAATTAACAACAGATCTGCTGCCAACATCAGAGCTTTAAACATGCCTCCATTAGGTATGATTTCCTATATTTACAGGAAAATTTTCATATTACTCTTGTGAAGTAGATTATCTTTATTTATACTCTTAATGTCTTAAAATCATTTACTTGAATGATACTTGTTTTCAACAGACTGTCGATACAATAGAGAAGAACAGAGGATGCATGTAGCACGGGCTGAAGATGATGAAGAAGTAGAAGAGGAAGGAGTCAGTGGGGCTTCATTGTCTAGTCATAGGAGCAGTCTGGTTGAAGCACCAGAAGATGAAGAATTTGAACAGAAGATTAGTAGACTCATGGCTGCAAAAGAGAAACTTAAACAGCTCCAAGATCTTGTTGCTATGGTACAGGTAAGTTACTTGTTAAAATAATATAGTCATAGAAGATAAAAGTTTTGTGTGTGATAACCATATTGGTATAATTTTTCTTTTCCATTTTCTCATACTAAACTGAGGACTCTACATATAGTAAGAAAGCATGTTACCACTGAGTTACACTCCCCAGTCCTATATTTGTGTTTTAGATGTTACTATTAAAGGTTTAGTAGTTTACGTGGTATACATCTGATACTACCAAACTCTTCCTAATAAAGTTGAGAAATTGAATTGACACAGTGGTTCACATCTGTAGACTTATCACTTGGGGGGTGGAGGCAATAGGAGGAGTTCGAGGTCATCCTTGGCTATATGCAAGTTGGAGGCCTTCTTTGGGCATAAAAGACTGTCTCAGAAAAAAATGGGGAGAAGGGTTAATGTAGGTATCTTTATCTTTATAAAGCATATAATACCTTTTACAATTTATTAATGAGAATGCAGCCATCTGTTATTAAAAACCCAAGAGCATGGCTGTGTACCAGTATAGTTTTATGTACAACCCAACATAATTGTTTTTGTTTTTGCAGATGACACTAGCCTCATAATATTATAACATCATCAGGAGGTAGATAAGAAACACTGAAAAAGTATTAATTGCCCAGTGTTATATAATTATGTCAGCCAGAATTTAGATTGTCTATAGCAGAGCCTAAGATCTTAACCTACTTGACATTAAAAAAGAAAATCCAAATGTTAGCATGTTAGTAAAGTTCAGTTATTAATGTTTTTGAAAATAATTTATACATATGCATGTGTAATTACATAAATATTAACACATCCTTATTATTTAATATGGTCCAAAGGTCACTGAGCTTTTTGCAATTTACTATGGTAGGTATAATTTTTCTGGAGCAACAAAAATATTTTAACTTTGTGAAATTATTTCTTTGCTTTCTTTTTCTTTGTTGTTTCTTTCAAGTGTTTTGTTAGACCATTGCCATGTATTATACCTTTTAACTTGAATGTAAAATTTCTGATTTCTCTCCAGAATTACTATTAATTGATATTCTGAGCAAAGTAAGACCATATCCACATACCTTTGATTACTTTTTTATTGTATTGGTATACTATAGCTTATTTACAGATTGGCTTTTGGCTTTTTCTAAATTTATCCTATGAGAAGAAGAGCTATTGAAAGAAAGTGCATATACAAACATACAAGTACTCCTTTGCATGTAAAATGTAAATAACTTAGAAGTAAATACCATTTGAAATATATGAGCATGTTATTTATTTTTGCTCATATATTTGAAGTGTATTGAGAAGAACACCTGTTACTGAGATCAATAAAAAGAATGGGCATCTTTCTGAATTTCCACTTTACTTTTTGAAGAACTTAGGTTATATGACTTTTACGGTTTGAAAAGCATGAAACAGCGTCTGAAACAGATAGTAGTAATAAGTTAGGCTATCCTAAATGTTCTTAACATATTTGTAAGAACTCACATTTGCTAATTGTTATTGTTTCTTTATTTTCCATTCCTTTAAGATAGCGGTTCTCAACCTGTGCATCACAACCCCTTTGGGAATCGAATGACTCTTTCACAGGGGTTGTATATTAGATATCCTGTATATCAGATACTTACTTTGCAGTTTATAACATCAGCAAAATTAGTTATGAAGTAGCAATGAAAATAATTTTATTTTGGGCGTCAACACAGTATGTGGAACTGTGTTAAAGGGTCTGCATTAGGAGGGTTGAGAAGACTGTAGCCTTAAGATCACAAAATATTATATTGAAAAACTAAAGTGTGAGAAATAACTTTCAGGCAGACTTGTTTTTTATTATTTCTTATACTTTGTTTTTCCACGTACTATTTTGTGAAATACTTAATATGCAGCTTTTTTCTTTTAAAGGTTTATTTATTTATTTATATGAATGCTCTGTCTGCATGTATATCTGAAAGTTAATAGAGGGCATCAGACCCATTGCAGGTGGTTGTGATCCACCATGTGGTTACTGGGAATTAAACTCAGGACCTCTGGAAGATCAGTCAGTGCTCTTACCCACTGAGCCTTCTCTCCAGCTCCACTTTTGTTTCTTAAGTTACAACACAGAATTCTTGCCAGTCTCCTAGTCATATGATCACTAGGTCGATTGATACAAAGACTAGAATTGTATCATCATCTCAAAGTTCATAGTTTTGTAATTAGTATCAATTCTAACTCATTATGATTTTATTAGAATATTGTTTCTAAAAATTAAAATTTCAGATGTAATCTTCAGAAAAAGCATGGATTTTAAGATTATAAATTTTATAATTTATTGTATATAAGTTAAATATTTTCAAGAAAATGCAAGAGCTCATTTTCAACCCTCTACTAGTCATTGCATTAGTTCAACAAATATACTGTTAGTAAGATATAAACTTTGATTCTTTTTCCAGTTCTTGTGACAGATTTAGATAGGATATTCCTTTTTTTTTTTTTTTTCCCTCTATTTTCTTTTTTTCCTTAAAACAAAAACAAAAAAGAAGCCCTGGGCTTCATGGCACACGCCCTAAATCCCAGCATTTGGAAGGCAAAGGCAGATAAATCTCTGTGAACTTGAGGCCAGTTTGGTCTACAAAGCAAGTGCAAGACAGCCAGGGTTATACAGAGAAACCCCCCCCCCCCCCAAAAAAAAAAAAAAAAAAAAGTCTTGTCCTATGTCTCAGGATAGCCAGAAATTCACTGTATATACTCCAAGTTGGTCTTTAACTCATGGAGCCCTTTTGCTTTGTTAGCCTCTTGAATGCTGAGATTACAAGAACGAGCTATCATGTCCATCTCATTACCTTTTGTATCATAAATATTGGTACTTATTTAGAAAATTAAAGACAAAAATGAGAAAATGAGGGAAAATTTTAAACAGGTAGTGGTCATGGTTTATTATAGTGGTTTATTTTAAATAATAAAGGATGCATCTTAAAATTTAACATCGTTTCCTGCTCCACGTTTTTTTGTTTGTTTTTTGTTGTTGTTTTGGTTACTTTATATTTGACACAAAGCTATTCTTTGGTAGCTCATTATTTCAATAAAGTAAGAAATGGCAAGGTGCTGGGCAGTGGTGGCATATGCCTTGAATCCCAACACTTGGGAGGCAGAGGCAGGGGCATCTCTTTGAGTTCCAGGCCAGCCTGGTCCACAGAGCTAGTTCCAGGGTAGCCAAGGCTACACAAAGATACCGTGTCTCTAAACAAAAAAACAGGCAAATTATTTTTGTCAAAGGTGTTTTAGTTTATAACACTGTAATGAAATATCTGAATTGTCATAATGTGATAAAGAATATAGGCATATTTAGTTTACAGTTTTGGAGGTTTTAAGAGTCAACATTCTGGCTAAGTGTTGGAAGGCTGTATAAGACAGTACATAGCAAAAGGTAGGGAATGAACCATACACATGTCAGTCTGTCCATTGTGTCTATTGTTGTTCTATCTTCCTTTTTTGCTCCTTCTCTAGCCCTGTCTGTATTCTTCCTCTTCTTGGAAAGCTGCTAGTATTCAGTTATGGAGGCTCCACCTTTATAAATTTACCTAATCTGTTAACTCCAAAAGGCCCCATGCCAAAACACCATACTGGAATTAAATATTCACCCCTTAATATTTCACAATTGGGATTAAGTTTTTAACATGTGAACCATTGAGGAACACATCAAGCCTTATTCCAACCATAGCACTAAGTAGTTAAAACTCAGACTTTAAATGGCAGGGCTAAGGATGTCAGTATCTCATAGAATACTTGCCTAATATGCCCAAGTCCTGTGTTCAGTCATCAGCACTACCAATACGATTTTTAATGGGCTCATAATTTCTTATTACTGATAGAGGATACACTTCAGGTTTTTGAAAAAATCATTAATATCCTCTATTGTATTAATTATTTTAAGTTTTATAGCCTAGTAAATTATGTAAATTATAAATTAAGTAATGTCTTTAGATTTTGAGATAATTTTATATAATTTTGCTCTTTTAGGATGATGATGCAAATCAAGTGGTTGTCTCTGCCAGTACTTCAAATTTGGGTGATTTGTATGCGGCAGAAGAAGATACCAAACAAAATTCAAATAATGCAAGAGAAAATTCTAATAAAACACAAAAAGATACTGGAGTAAATGAAAAAACAAGGTATGGTGAGCTTTTGGCTTCGATAATAAAAACTTAGAGCCGGTTATTTAGCTAGGTACTTACTGTGTTATATTTTGTTTAGTATCATTATTTTTTTTTGGAGTCCACAAATATGTTAATTTAATTATAGAGAGAAATTTTATGAGGCTAAGCTGCAGCAGCAACAGAGAGAGCTTAAACAGTTGCAGGAGGAAAGAAAGAAATTGATTGAAATTCAAGAGAAAATTCAAGCAGTGCAAAAGGCATGCCCTGACCTTCAGGTAATTATAAAATTTATTTCTTTGAGTATGTTTAAAATGTTTAAAACCTAATATCAATTTAAAGTACTCTGTGTTTCCTGGTACTGAGGTAACAGATAATATTTGCTAATTTTCTGATTACTGAAATGAATGAACTTATAATGAAATGAATTTCTGTTTTTTGTTTTTACTTTGAAAGATAGTACATGGGAATCAAGTGATTACTTCTATTTTTTATGCTGGACTAGTTAGCCATTTATTCATGACAAGAAAACTTAAAGCTATTATCACATTAAGATATTCTGGCGTATATTTAACAGTTATAGATCAGCACTCCATTGTTTATTGACCCCTAGGATTACACTTAAACCTTTATAGTATTCTATAATATGGTTCTTTGAGATGGAACAGAATCTAAGGAAACTTTGCCCATGTCAGTTACATTACATGTCAGAATGATATAGAATAATTTTCTTTTTTGTGTTCTTCCTAAAATTGTTTTGATTTGTTATGTATAGCTTTATTTGTGTGTGGGTGTGGGGGGTGTGGGGGTGTGTGCGCACACACTCAGGCACGTGCACATGCGTGCATGCACACAAGCATGTGTGAAGACTAGAGGTTGATGTCGGGTGTCTTCTTCTGTCATGCTTCAGTTATTTTATAGGTAGTCTCTCTCACTGAACTGGAAGCTTACTGGTTCAAGTGCATGGCCAGTGAGCTTTGTTTCTGTTTCCAGAACTGGGATTAAACACCCATGTGGCTATGCCTAGCTTTCTTTATGAGTCCTGGGATCTGAATGCAGGGTCTCATGCTTGTATAGCAACCACCTGAACCATCTCCCTAGTTTGGTTAATTTTACTGTGTAGTTAAATTTCCTTTTTAAAGAAAAACATCAAATTATGTTTCCAACACAGCTATTTCTAAGTTTGTACTTTTTCCATTTTTTTCTAATCCTTTTGTCCTTTATCCCTAATATAAATAATGTCCAAAGTGTCACAGTTGGGTTGAGTATAAACTTTTCCTCATCCTCCAATATTTGATTCATAATTTTTACTCTTTCTGATTGTTACGTCTCATCATATTTAACCTGTTATCATCTTTGTTTTCTTCTGTTGTCTTTGGATCATGGTAGCAATTTTAGTCTCATAGTAACAGATTCAATATGGCACTAGAGCTCTAGAGAAGTAAAATAATGACTTCATAAACAAATTCAGTTACTTTAGTATCTTATAGTATTTATTTATATATATATATGTGTGTGTGTGTATGTATGTTTTACTTTGTTTAGCTATCAGCCACTAGTATGGGCAATGGTCCCACAAAAAAATATCTACCAGCTATTACTTCAACCCCAACTGTTAATGAAACTGAGACCAGTACAAGCAAATCTGCTATTGAGCCTGAAGATTCTTCAGTAGTGGATAATGAGGTATGGTGGAGTCTACTGTGGTATTCCTGAGTTGGGTCCTAATTCCTGAATGTGTAAAGCTTTTGTTTTTGTTTTTGTTTTGTGGGGAAGAAGTGTGCTAGGGATGGGACTTTGCCACCTTTTACTTACTGGACAGATGATATATGTGAAGTATATTTACTATGTCTTTTGTTTACATTAGTTGGGGGATATCACCGCCCCCCGCCCCCAATTATACTGGTATTGTTTCAAAATAGTCACATTCTTTATTAGCAAATACAAGGAGCAGTTATAGCAAATGCTGATCATTTCAGTTAGAAGGGTATATTCTTGGGTATTTCATTTATATTTGATTTGCAGAAAATACAGTTTTTCTCATATTTCATGATATTTATTGAGTATACTCATGAAGTATATTGAGCACTTCTTATTTTCATGAATAATTGGTGATTGCCTTTTTCTTTTCCCTAAAATACTATTTGGATGAACACATATCCAATACTATAAAGTTTGAACATTTTTAAAAGATTTTAATTTAAGCATTTTTAATTGTGTGTGTTTTGTGGTAGAGGTTTATACAAGTGAATGTAGGTGCCCAGAGAGGCCAGAGGTGTCAGATATTCCTGGAAGCTAGAATTACAGGAAGTTGTGGGTCATCCGATGTGGGTGCTGGGAACTGAACTTTTCAAGAGCAGCACACATTGTATACCACTATGCCATTTCTCAAGTTCCGCTTATATATATCTTAGAATGAAAATAGAAACATTGAAAATAGAATATTGTTGTACTGGCAGTATCATTAAGACTTTTATTCTTTATGGCTTCAGCAAATCCAAATATTTACTTGACTCTGATTTTTAAAACAATAGTTGTGGTCAGACATGCGAAGACATGAAATGTTAAGGGAAGAGCTACGACAGAGAAGGAAGCAACTGGAAGCTCTAATGGCTGAACACCAGAGGAGGCAAGGTCTAGCTGAGACCTCATCTCCAGTGGCTATATCATTAAGAAGTGATGGATCTGAGAACCTGTGCACTCCTCAGCAAAGTAGAACAGAAAAGTAAGAAAGCCATTTGAAACATCTTATAAAACATCATTTACCCAGAACATAAAAGCCAGGCAGACTCATTTTCCTGCACAACAAAGTGTAAATCACCTGTTTCACTGAAGCAGGTGTTTTTTAGTATATGACTAAGTAGAACCCAATCCAACCATTTTCTATTCTACAGCTTTCCTTTCTGTTTCACTTACTGTGGTACTTGATCAAATTGTGTATAGATCTTTTGTAAAACTTCTTTGCAAAGTTTTATACTTATAAAATGAAAAGCATGTGATGTTTTGTAGTGCTGTTTTTTCAGACCAAGATATAATGAAGACTAGCCTTGAACTCCATATGGAGCTCAGGATGCCCTTGAGCCTCTGATCCTCCTGTCTCCAATTCCTCAGTGCTGAGATTATAGGCACGTTCCACCATGACCAGCTGAAATACTTTTTATCTTATATTGTGTATCTACAATTTGTAAGGTACCTTAGAATAATTATAAAACCTTTTTATATAAAACATTAAGGTGTTATTTTTTTTTTTTTTTTTAGAAATAAGCTTGAAAGTTCCATAGTCAGAATATTTGTAAAAATTAGTTATTTCTAAGTTAAGTTAATTTCCTATATAGTAATATTTAATAAAAAAAAATTGAAGGCCAGGTATGTTGCTACCTTATTTTTTCAGGTGGCATTTCTAAAATATTAGATGCATTCTTTTCTTATTAGGAGTTTCCATACTACTGGAGTCTCAGTGTGCATTTTACTGAATTAGCTATATCATATTTTGTTCTCTTCTGGCCACTTATGCACCTGCTCTTTCCAGAAGTCTTTAGATAGTTTTGATAAGCATCTGGTTTCAGAATCATTGGTGTAGAGCCTAGCTTCTTTTTTTTTTTTAATTTTATTTTTTTCTTATCAGTTACATTTTATTAACTCTGTATCCCAGCTGTGTCCCGATCCCTCATTCCCTCCCAGTCCCTCCCTCCCTCCCTCATCTCCACCATGCCCCTTGCCAAGTCCACTGATAGGGGGGACCTCCTCCCCATTCATCTGATCCTGTTTTATCAGGTATCTTCAGGACTGGCTGCAAAGCTCTCCTCTGTGTCCTAACAGGACTGCTCCTCCCTTGGGGGGTGGGGAGGCCAAAGAGCCAGTCATTGAGTTCCTGTTAGAAATAGTCCTTGGAGCCTAGCTTCTTAATATGTGGGCTGTGACCCCTCCTGTGGGTTAATGTGACTGAATGCAACTGAATGAGAGCTTATAAAAAAACAGAACAAAACAAAACAAAAAAAAAAAACTGGTTATTCAAACATACGACAGCCAAAAATGTAGTCAGAATTAAATGCTATGTGAATTTAAGGTTTTTTCAGCATTGCCAAACCTGTGTTGCATCATGTGACTTAATTGTAGCCTTGCCCCTAAGAAATGTATGTATGCACTTTGTACTGCCTACAAGGCCACCTCAGCACATTAACAAAGGCTGCCTGAAATATTTTTGAGTTATGAATTGCTTTGTTTTTACTGCATATGCAAAGTCTTCTGCTCTGAACAGTTTAGTTGTGGGGAAATTTTAGTGTTTTTCTATCATATCTCATCTTGTTAGTACCAAACTTAGTGTATCTTTGGATTATTTTTTGTTTCAGTGTTTAATTTAAAAAATTGTATATTGATGGCTTTTATTATTTATTTGTATTTTTTTACTTGAGACAGGGTTTTTCTGTGTAACAGCTCTGGCTGTCCTGGAACTTCTCTGTAGACCAGGCTGGCCTGGAACTCAGAGATCTGCCTGCCTTTGCCTCTTGAGTTCTGGGATTAAAGGTGTGCACCACTACTACCCAGCAAGATGCTTACTTTTGAATTTAAAAAGTGAAATGAATTTTAATAATTTCTAAATGATCTTGAATATCCTTCTGTAATTTTGTATTACTTGTGCAAAGTAGAAATCTAATCATTTAAAATTATGAGATCAAAATATTTATTGATGAACTCTGGAAAAATGAAGATGTTCTACGTACTTCAGTTTCAACTATTCCTACAATTTTAATTCATTTCTATTTTTAAGTATGTATGTGTATGTGGGAGTATGTGTGTGACTATATATGTGCCTGCAGAGGCTATAGCCAATGGATCCCCATAGAGCTGTAGTTACAGGTGCTCATGAGCTTGTCCTATGTGGATACCCAAGAGTAAACTCAGGTTTCCTATCAGCAGGTGCTCTTAAACTGCTGAGTCACTTCTCTAGTACCCGGAAGATTTACTTCTTCATTTAGAAATAAGCAAGAATATCATCCCCTTAGTATTTTTAACAAATAGTATACTTATATATATGCCAAACAATTTTTAATATCTTTGTGATTATCAGAAGATGGTTAAGTTGTATAACTACTTGATATATCTATATTTGGGTCATGTAAAAGTTCCTGATTGGAAGGGCATTATGAGAGGAGACAGTAACATGTCCAGGTCCAGAGTTTTTTGTTTTAATATTACAGCCAGTAAATATGGTGGCTATTTAAAATAAGTTAAATTTCAATTTTCTTTGTTTTCCCAGTCTATCAGCATCATTTTAAGTACTCGGTATTCATGTGTAGCTATATTGGCTGCATACATTACTGCTATTGCAGAAAATTCTTTAAGGTAACACTGAAATAGAGTGCTGTCACTTAAGGAATGGAGGAAGGAAGGTTAGGAAGAAATTTCTAGAAGATGTAATGATTATTTTCATTTCTTTGAAATATTTGTGGAAGGCAAACCATACATTCTGTGTGACAGCTAACAGAATTAACTATGATGAAATGAATTTTGTATACATGTATATATATATATCAAAATCTTGAGCATTATAGCTCTTAACATACCCAGCTAATCTGTATAATGATGTCTATTTTATATCTTATTATTCCTAGAACAATGGCAACTTGGGGAGGTTCTACTCAGTGTGCATTAGATGAAGAAGGAGATGAGGATGGTTATCTTTCAGAAGGAGTTGTTCGGACAGATGAAGAGGAAGAAGAAGAACAAGATGCCGTTTCCAATGACAACTTTCCTATGTATCATCCTAGCATGAGTCAAAATGCTTATACTGTAAAAGAAACTAAAAATAGGTTAGTTTAAGTGTTTTAAGTTTTACTTGCTTTTAAGTATCTCAGGTCTTTTTGACACCAAGCAGTTTTGTAGTTCACACCAGCTAACCAACTATCCTAAAATTTAATTCAATAATGGCACCAACTACTCAAAGGTAATGCAGGTCTCATAAAGAACTTAGTCCCACAAGAGTATCCTTTTTTTCCGTGCAAGGGCCCAGCTTAACTATATTCTCCTGTCTTGACTAAAATGAGAGTTTCCATAATCTGTCTTTAGATTTAGTAATGTCTACAACTCAGGAAAAGACATTACCAGTATATTACGAAGTACTCAATATGGCCATTTAAAATGGAATATAAAGTAGTGTCTAAAGTGAATGAAACTGTGTAAAGCTTTCATGCCTTCTTTAGGTACCACCTTTGAAATTTGTCACCACTTCTGAAATTCTGTGACGTTATTATTTAGGAGATTTTATGGAAGTTTTATTAAGTAACTATGATTGATTAATAATAAGCCATTGATAATCAGACTCAACCTCTGGTTCCATTTCCTTCCCTAAATGTCAATGAGTGGGTTTGGAAATAACAACCCTTTAGTGACCTTACTGGTTTTACTGGTCACCACTCCTCTCATCCTGAAGGGCTTTCTAAGAATTAAGTCTTTGTCATAAACTCTGGCTTAGTTAAAAGGGCCTTGTTCTGAATAACAAAAGAGAATCTGCCACTTGAGGAGATATCCAAACATTTTAAGGGTAGAGGGTACACAGAACACCAGAGGTTCTTAAACGAGGTACTTTTTTTTTTTTTAATAATACAAAGATGTTGCTGCAATATATCCTGCCTAGACCAGATCAAGAATCATACCTAAGCTTTCATCTTTCCTACTGTTTGGAGGAATTAAGCAAAAAAAATGAAACTTCATGAAAGTTGTGTTAATAAACTAGCTGCATTGCTGGCAGCAGCGGTGTATACCAACAATCTGGTGCTGCTTGAAGGGTCACCTGAGACCAGAACAGTTTAGTGATACCCTATCTTTAAAACAAAGCAAAGCAAAATGACAGGAAGCAATATTAATTGCATTGCTCCTTTTGGTTTGGGGTTTTGTTTATTATTATTTATTACATATCTTGTTTGCGCACATGTGGGTTAAGGTGCACAAATGGAAGGTAGAGGCAGTTCTCAGGTAGGTTCTCTTCTAAATTGTGGGTCCTGGGGTTTGAACTCAGGCTTTCAGTTGTAGTGACAAGTGCATTTACTGATCAGCCATCTCTGGTCTGTATTGTTAGTTCTAGTAGTAATAAAAGTCTATGAATAAATGTTAACTAGGTATAATAGTGCTACTTGAAGTAAATCCTGAACAATGGAAAAGTGCCGTACTCTAAAACATTTTTATTCTGTAGAATATAGTTTGACTATAGTGTAATTATACAAATGAGAAAGACTAGAAAGCAATTAAAGAATAATTAGATGGGCTGGAAACATTTTTTCCCCTCTTTTCTGTTTTTTTTATATTTAATACTGAATAAAGGAATATTGGTCCACAGACTAGGATTTGAGGTTGTGGCTGTATTTTAAAACTCAAACTTAAGGCTCTACATTTTGCATTAGGTGGAAGAACAATCGCCCTGTTTCAGCAGATGGAAATTATCGCCCTTTAGCCAAGACAAGGCAACAGAATATCAGCATGCAACGACAAGAAAACCTTCGATGGGTGTCAGAGCTCTCTTACATAGAAGAGAAAGAACAGTGGCAAGAACAAATTAATCAACTAAAGAAACAACTTGATTTCAGTGTAAATATTTGTCAGACTTTGATGCAAGACCAGCAGGTAAATGTTATCTTTGCAGTGTATTCTTTATAATGTACAGTCTTGAAGCAGTACACATTTTTGTCAATACATTGTAACAATTGCCAACATTTTCTTCCTACAGACCTTATCCTGTTTGCTGCAGACTCTTCTTACAGGTCCATACAGTGTTCTGCCAAGCAATGTGGCATCCCCTCAAGTACACCTTATAATGCACCAGTTGAACCAGTGCTACACACAGCTAACATGGCAGCAAAATAATGTTCAGAGGTAATCTGTTTGATTAAAATATTAATACTGTGTAGTGAATACGAAAATGAGAGTTTTACAATTACCTTCAAGGAGAAAGAGGCATGAGCCAACCTCCAGCCACACAGTCTATTGTCTGAATAGTATAGGCCATGATCTGTTACTGTGGGCCTGGTTTTGTTTATAAAATATGTAGTGAATTGTATACTTACTGGATAAAGTGTATAGTATATAAATTACACTGCAATAATCAGTAAGCAAGCAAAATTTTAGGTTCTTACATTTATACCTATGTCTGTCAGAACTAAGGTCAATACTTGTTCCAATGGCTCAGTTATTGAATTGAGCCAACATAGAAAGTACATACTTGTTGTAGGGTAGGAACAGGAACAGTCTATGTATTCTGAGTGCTGTCATTTCTAACATGTATTGTTTTTTATTTTGGTTTGCTTATGGTACTATAACTGACTTTTAAATTACTGGCTTAACTTTTTGTAGGTTAAAACAAATGCTAACTGAACTTATGCGCCAACAAAGTCAGCATCCAGAAAAACCTAGAAGCAAAGAAAGAGGCAGTAGTGCATCGCATCCCTCTTCTCCCAATTTATTTTGTCCTTTCAGTTTTCCAACACAGCCTGTAAATCTGTTTAATCTGCCTGGATTCGCTAACTTTCCATCATTTACACCAGGTAAGTAACTGAAAACCTGAAGGAAAATAAATAAATGTAAGAATTTGAAGTGGGTATATTACATGCGTATAGAGGCAGTAGGATTAGGAAACTTAAGGCCATTTTCAGATACAGACTGAGTTTGGAGCCAACCTGGGATAAATGAGATCTGTCTCTAAAAAGAAAAAAGTTTGAAGTTTATAATTTATCTGCTGTACGGATTTCCCTTTTATCGTTTGAGGATTTTTTATATGCATAATAATGTGTTTTAGGCAAACTCCCCCTTTCTGTGGACTCTTCCTATATCCTGCATCACTAATTTTTCCCTCCCAACTTCATGTACTTCTTTTTTTTTTTTTTTTAAACCCACCAGTTTCACTTAGTATGTGCACAGGTGTAGGCAATCTGGAGTATGAGCAGCATTTTCTCTTCTTTAGCAGCTGTCAATTGACAACAGCTTATCAAGCTGGGATAAGACTTTGAAACCCCTGCCCATCCATATTACATCAATGCTTTAAAATACATAATAACTTTTATTCTTTGAAAATTCCCTACATACATCAAATGTATTATGGTCGTATTCACTGCCCAATCGTCCTTTCTACTCTTCCAGATGCACCTTCCAGCCTCTTCCCAACTTTGTGTTGTTTTGTTGTTGTTGTTTTTTAATGACCAAGTCCAGTTTAGCTGTTCATAGACTCCTGAGTCTGGAGCCATCCACTGGAGCATGCTTGACCTACTAGGGGCTGTACCCTCAAGGAAAACTGACTCTCCCTACCTTTAAAGTTACTAGTTGTCCAACTAGTAGTTCCTTGGCTAGGGTTGGAGAGGGGGTGGCTCATGAAGCTCTCCCTCTTCCATGCTATAGTGTTGATTGGCTTGGTCTTGAATAGGTCTTCTGAATGCTGCAGTGGTCCTGTTAAATCCGGAAGACAATGTTTACTCTGGTCCTGCCCCAAGCACCAGCTCTTAAGAACTTTCCATTCCCTCTTCCTAGATGTTCCCTGAGCTTTGTGAGGAGAGCCTGTGTTATAGATTTGTGGTTGAGCACTTCATTGACACTTACTCTCTGTACTTTGATCAGTTGTGAATGTCTTGCATGACTTTTTGGGGTGTTTTTGAGTTATAAAGAAACACTTGCATTAAAGTTACATTTTTCTTTTTCTACATTGTTCTTATAGTGAAAAGCTAATAAGCATGATTGCTAACAAAACTCAGCAATTTATAAAGGGGAAAGATACTGATCTTATTTAAGGGCTACTGTCACCAGGTAAAGCATTAGGGAAATAAAGATAAGTAAGACACAACTTAAAGAAGCCATGTCTTGGTTAGTGCATTTAGTGTAGGTTTTTTTTAAGGTGGTTTTATTGTTCATTTGCTTTGCTTTGATTTTTTTCGTGGTTCATTATGTGCCAGGTACTATATGTTACTTGGATCCAAAGGTAAGTTAAGATAAATCTGTAAAGGAATTCAGAATCTGCTTAGGAAGGTAATAATGTTAATAAAAGCTCTTAGCGGTGCAATAGTTGCTATATAGCAGAGACACAAATACTTGGAGACTGTGAGCAAGTTGGGTTTAGGAAAGATGATATTTAAGCTAAAGGATGAATTAGTTATGATTAAAATGGAAAGGCTTTCTAACCAATGGAAACACTAAGACTTTGAAAGCAGTAAAATATTCCTTGGTGAATTTAAAGGTAGTTAAGTGTGACTAGTGCTCACAGCCAAGTCAGGGAAGTGATTGATGTGGCTTGAGAGTAGCAGAGGCCTTCTGTAGTGTGCAAAAGAAGCTTAAGCTTTATGTATTTACGTAAGTTTTACTTATTTCAATACTGTGATATTGAGGAATTGGAGTAACTGGCAAGAAGGCTTTTCTAATGATGTTGGGGAAAGAGTGATAGCTTGACCAAAGGCACCAATGGTAAAACAGTTAAAAGTGTTAGAATGAGTTAATCAAGAAGAAGAATTAAATATTTGCTGAGTAATGTAGAAAACATAAAGGTTGGGAAGTCTTCATTAATGTTAATATGTATATATTTCACAGTGTTTCCTTAAGAGGATGTTCAAAGCACAGGCATTAAAAACTTGAACAAGCTCTTTTTACTTCTTGAATATTAATTAATATTGAGAGCAAACGTATTTTCTTTACAATTTTATTTTAATTTTTAATTTTGTATAAATGTGTGTGAGTGTAGGTTTGTGAACATGAGTGCAGTGCCCTTTGAGCTAGAAGAGGATGTCAGATCCTCTGAAGCTGAGTTATGGGTAATTGTGAGTTTATGTGGCTGCTGGGAACCGAACTCTGCAAAAGCAGTTTATGTTCTTACCGCTGAGCCATCTCTCTGCTTGCTGAGCTTCTAGTTCTTTTTAAAATTATTATTACATTTTATTTATTTATTATTACATGTGTATTTGAATTGCATGAGTATCTCTATCACATGCATGCAGTGCTCATGGAGGCCAGAAGAGGGTATCAGATCCCGTGGGACCCTAGTTACAAACAGCTGTGAGCTGCCAAATAGGTTCTGAGAATCAAACCAAAGTCCTCGGGAAGAGCAGCTAGTATTCTTAGGGCTGAGCTGTCTCTCCAGCCCCAACTTCTGGTTCTTACAGAAGAACCATTAACTACTTTCATATCACAAATATCTCAAGTGTAGTAGGCTGAACAATAAGTACTAATGAGCATTACTTTATTAAACTAACAGTTTGTTTTGGTAGGTTTGCCCAGGATATTTAATATCATAAAGCTCTTAAAAATAAAATTTAATTTCATTTAAGGCTAAGGTACTTCTTCATTCTTTTCTTTTCCATATTTTTATTAGGAATGAATTTTAGCCCTTTATTTCCTTCTAATTTTGGAGATTTTTCTCAGAATGTTTCTACACCTACTGAACAGCAACAGCCATTGGCCCAGAATCCTTCAGGAAAAACAGAGTATATGGCTTTTCCAAAACCCTTTGAAAGCAGTTCTTCTCTTGGAGCAGAAAAGCAAAGGTACTTGATTGTATCAAAAAGTCTGATGCTTTTGCCATTCACTTAATTTTTAAAAACATTACATTTAGTTTGTCTGTGTTGTTATGTATGTGTACATATGGAGATCAAAGGATAATTTGAGGGAGTAGGTTCTCTCCCTATATCTCATGGGTCCTAGGGATCAAACACAAGGTATCAGGCTCAGTAGCATATACATGCTGACCTCTGTTGGTGGCATACGATTCACTTTGTGACACAACACAGAGAATTTTTGTGATTGTGTGGCTTTATATATAATATTGGTTATATGAAAATACCCTACCCGCCTACCTGCCCACCCTGGCCTGGCCCTACCCACCCCCCTGCCCACCTGGCCATCCTGGAGCTACCCATCCCCCTATCCTTGAGCTTACAGATCCCTTGAGCTGAAGAACTTAACAGTCACCAGAGTTTTGGTCCAGAGTATCTTACAAGATTCATATAAATTCATCACCACAAATGTTCCATTTATGTGAGATTTGATGTTTGTGTTTAGGTTAAAAAGTGAAGTGTTCATTAACTTAGTCCTGGAAACTGGTAGTATTTGCTAGGGAATAGTTGTTTGACTGATAGCCTCTGAAGACCATTCAAATATTATTATATTGATTATTATTTGGTTGTAAAAACAACTTTGAGCTGGGCCTGGTGAGACATGCCTTGAATACAAGTACTCAGGAATCAAAGGCAGGCAGATCTTTGGAGGTCAAGGCCAGCCTGTTCTATATACTGAGTAACAAGCCATTCAGGGCTCTGTACTAAAAATCTGTCAAAGAAACAAACATTTGTTTTTGAAGTTTTGATAGTATATGATATCAGTCACAGTGTTTTATATTCTCTCTCATATTTCTTATTTTTATATGATAATCTCCCTAGCTATAATCTCTGATATAATAGTACAAATGAAGAGGTCTTTCTCAGCCATCTTTTTTTTTTTGGATTTTCACAGGTATATAAGTAATTTACATAAATAAATAATTAATCTAGAAAATTATTTTGGTAGCTAACTCAAAAAAAAAAAAACCCTATAACTGTTTTGTTTGTTGTTAGAGAAAATAGGCAAATTGAGCATATTTTAAGGGCACCAGGCAAGAATAATGCCTGCAGCCTCACTGTTGTTTACATAGAAACAAACAAACAAAAAAAAAAAACAGAAGGATGAAAAACTTAGTTATCAGTTGGACTCAGTATTCTGTTAGAAGGGTCTTTGGGATTTTTTTCAACCTCAGCGCTGTAGAAATACCTATGTATAATTCACACTGTGCCCCTCCAAATTTAACAAACAGTGACAAATGCCAATCTAGGAAGCTAAGACATGTCAGTCTTATTACTAAGTGGGGGCACTTGATTAATGGAGAAATCTTAGAATGTCTATGTTATAGTCACCTCTAGAAATTGTTTCATCTCCCTGACGTTGACTCCTTTTTATTAGTTATCCTAACTTTTTTTTTTTTTTTTTTAAGTTCCTCGTTATATTAGTGGAAGTAATCTTTCATCAGAGCTTGACACAGTGCTTAGTGCACAGTTGCCATTCAGAAAGGAGATTGAGTGAATCATAAGCAGTGAAGATTTATGAAAAGCTTTAGTGAACAGGGCTTCCTATTGTGATTTTTCTGCTTTATTATCAACACTATACATCCTTGGTAAAAGAAACTACTTTGCTTTTTCATTAAGTCATGTTTAGGATGGAGCTGCCTTTCTTGTTTTAGATACTTGAAGTATTTCAAATTAGATATCTTTATCTTACCAAATATGAGCTATTATAACCTGCATTAAGTGACTAAAGATAATAAGGGAGTTAAAACCTAGTAGATTTTAATAAAGCTCAAAACATGCTGTAAAGTGCTAGAAGGAAATATTTTAACTTGTGCAGACCATATGTCTGTCATAGCCATTCATCTAGAACTGTTTTGAAAAGCCAAAAGTACCTAAAACAAAAAATCAGTAAATTTCATGTATAATGTACATATGTAGAATCTTTTTCTGATTAAAACAAACAGAAAAAATTTAAGAGTAGAAAGAAACAGCCAGAAGAGGTGGCATACACCTGTGATCCCCAGCACTCAGGGGCGGCAGAGGCAGGTAGATCTCTGTTGAGTTCAAGGGCAGCTTTGTCTACAAATCGAGTCTGTGACAGTCAAGACTACACAGAGAAACCCTGTCTCTAAAAACAAAATAAAACAAGAATAGAAACAAACACTGACTGAATTTGTTCTCTAAGCTAGAGATTTCTGTCTCTTGTTTTGAATTAAAATATATAGGTCAGTGTGTCCCAGAATTATTCTTCATAAAAAACTTGTCAGGCTCTATGATAAAAATGTGAAAACATTTTCCTAGCCTACTGAATTTATTCACCTAAATCTGTGTAGATTTCAGTAAACATAACTAGATCTTAATCGATGTCTAAAACTTTTTTTTTTTTTAATTGGTAAGGAATCAGAAACCGCCCAAAGAGGAAGTTGAAAACTCAAATACACCATGGTTATATGATCGAGAAGGTGTAGTAGAAAAACCATTTTTCAAGACTGGATTTGCAGTGCCTGTAGAGAAAGCTACAAATAGTAACCGCAAAAATCAACCAGATACAAGCAGGAGAAGACGCCAGTTTGACGAAGAATCACTGGAAAGCTTTAGCAGTATGCCTGATCCCATAGATCCAACAACAGTAACTAAAACATTTAAAACAAGAAAAGCATCTGCCCAGGCTAGCCTGGCTTCTAAAGACAAAACTCCCAAATCGAAGAGTAAGAAGAGAAATTCTACTCAGCTGAAAAATAGAGTTAAAAATATTGGTAAGTTTTGAAATTTGTTGAACATTTATAGTATAAATATAATGTTGGTCTTCTTACTTTGACATGCTGACAGTTTTGTACAACTAGATGTGCATTGTTGAGACCTACTTCTTTATAATTTTTAATTTTTTTTGATTGTTTATATTTTTGAAAGCAGGGTTTCTCTGTGTAGCCTTGGCTATTCTGGAACTCATTGTATAGACCAGACTGGCCTTGAACTCACTGCGATCTGCCTGCCTCTTCCTCCCTGAAGGGATTACAGGCTTGTGCTACTATGCCCGGCCATTTTTAATTTTTTTTTAAAGACTCATTTATTTTTATGTATACAATGTTCTGTCTGCATGTACACTTGCATGCAGATCTCATTATAGATGGTTATGAGCTCCCCTGTGGTTGCTGGGAATTGAACTCAGGACCTTTGGAAGAGCAGCCAGTGCTCTTAAACTCTCTAGGCCCCATTTTAAAATTCTTAAGTAGCATTTGATGTAGTTATCTTAAAGCCTTACATTTATTCTTTGCACTTCTTAAACTTTCTGTTGTTTTGTGTGTGTGTGTATATATGCGCGTGCATATATGTGTGTGCCTGTGTGTTGTGTGACTATATATGTGTGTGTGTATACATATCTACAACATGCTTCCCTCCCAGTGTTATATTCTTTTCCTTTCTTCCTTCGTTTCTTCCTTCCTTCCTCCTTCCTTCTTCCTAACCCTCCCCCCCCCTTTGGTAACTCATTAAATCCAATTAGTGCAGCCCATCTCTCTATGGATATGGGGCCATCTACTGGAGCACAAGAAATGCTGCTAGTGGGAACACTTTCAAAAAAGAATGATTCTCTCCCTGCAGCTATCAATGCCAAGACTCAGCAATATTCTCTAAATTTTGTGTTACTGAAAAAAGGCTCAACTATCCAAATATTACTGTTTTTTGTCTTTCAGTGTTCTAACAGGGCACTGCATTGAATTTTAATCATGACTTCTCCCTGGATTCTTAATGATTCATTTAATGGGCTTTTAATTCTTAATACATTGTTTATTACCATAAATGAAACCACTTACAAACAGGCTTACTTATAAACTTGTGTTTCTCTGAATTTTGTTATTGTGTAGAATATTAAAGTTCTCTTTATAACATTGCTATATGTACATGCTTTTCAAAAATAGGTTCTTCTATAATTTTCTTAAGAGTTTGCTGAGGTATTAGTTAAAGTAGTTGTATTAAACTCTGTATAATGGTCATATGTTTAAATTTGGTGAAACCAGAGAAACATTCAAGTAGAAAATGGCTGTTTCTGAGACATACCCTATAAACAATCTTATAATTTTATTTCCTCCTACTTCATACCCACAAATATTCTGATATATAACTGAAGGAATGTGTGCAAATTTTTTTTTGTAACATTTTTGACATATTTTGTTTAGCTAGATAATTTGATGTGCGGAGGTCAGTCCTCCTTAAATATTTTAATGTTTCATATGGGTCTCCCTGAGAGTATTTTTCTAAGTATAAATTCTGATTCATCAAGAGACTAAGGCAGGAGGATTGAGAGTTCAAGGTCAAACTGGACAACCTACCAAGCGCCTTTTAATAATGACAGATTCTGGTTTAGTTGTTGTGGAAGAAATACATATATATTATTGTGAAATACCTTTTAATATATTGTTCTTTATTTCTAAGAATTTCAGGTTTACACAATGAAACATCATTCCTAACCCCATTTTACTCCTTCAGCTGCCCATATATTCCCCAACATGTTGTCACCTTTCCAACTTCATGTCTTTTTTTTTTTTGAAGATCTAAATTTTTTTTTTTATATATATATATACAGAGAGTTGAATAATCTCTCTCACTGGTAGGTGGTATTGAATAATCCACTTAGGAAGGGTCATTTAGTCTAAATTTATGAAGCCTTTGTCCTTTGCATACTGATGGAGAAACACTACCGAAACTTGTTTGCTTCAAGTTTCTGGATCAGACTGTAGTGGCTTGAGTAGGGTTGGAAAAGTGAGAACCCTGCCCCAAATTAATTATGTGGGCGACTGGTAGAGATGCTGGTGACCCATCTTGCCTTAAGATGGCCAGTGAGAGAAAAGACTGTTTCGATAACACACTAAATCCAGTTAGTACTGCCCATATGTACATGGGTGTAGGATCATCCACTGGAGCACAGAAGTGTTGCCAGTGGGAACACTCTCAGACTGATTGTCTCTCCCAGCAGCTATCATATTCCAGTCAGTCTTAATTAAGGAACCAGGCCTGAAGAGCACCTCCCCATCTATCTATGCCAGAAGTTTGGCTGGCTTGATTTTGTGCAGGTAACCAATGCTTCTGTGGGTTTATGAGTTCAGTAACCATGGCATATGTAGAACACAGCAGTTTGCTGTACTTTTCTCCATCCTCTGCCTATTAAATTCTTGGTACTGCCTCTCCTGAAACATACCTACCTGATCTTTGGGGATTGTTATTGATTAAACTATTTAGGACTGAGCACTCAGTTTCTTCTGAGCATTTTGATTAATATTGCATCTTTGTGTGATTGCTGTCCACTGTAAAAGAAGCTTTTCTGACTGCAATTTAGAGCATCTCAGATCTATGAATAGAAACAGATACTCAGAAGGCAATTTGACAGTGATCATTTAGAAAAATAGTAGGTTCAGTCCTACAGCCTAAAACCTCCCCAGCCTTGGGATTTTGATCAGAATTATAGTACCAGGCACGAAACTCCCTCCTCTGGAGCAGGTTTCCAATCCTATCAGTATTGTACCAGTGGGCACATCTTGCCAAAGGGTCTGTATTGTGGTTTGCTGGATCCAGAACAGGGTAAGATCATTGATGTCTTTTCTCTCTCAGCAGCCTTCATAGCTCTGTCTGTCATTATGAAAGCTAGCCAATAGAAACCTGTTGGTTTGAAATTGGCATCTTTATATTCTACTGCCATAGTGTATGGTGGTGTCAGCAATAGGGTCTTACCGTGGAGTTACAGTGAGTGTCTTAGTGTTTCTTTTTTTGTGATAAAATGCCATGACCAAAAGAAACTTGAAGATGAATGTGTTTATTTCAGCTTATAGTTGTAGTTCATCATGAAGAGAAGTTAGGACAGGAACCTGGAGTTAGAAACTAAAGCAGAGGCCATGGTGTAGTGCTGCTTACTGTCTTGTTCCTCATGGCTTGCTTAGCCTGTTTTCTTATAACAGCTAGGACCACCTGCCCAGTTTTGGCATCACCTGCAATGGGCTGATTCCTCCTATATCAGTTATGTTAAAAAAAAAAAAATGCCCAAGAGACTCACTTGCCTATAGGCCAGTTGAGAGTCCCTCTTTCTGATACCACATTGTATCAAGTTGATAGAAAAATAGCACAGTGGATACCCAAAGGGCAGTAACAGCAGTGTGTGCTGTTTTCTGTACCTTTGGAATCTTCCCTGACCAATAATTTGTAGGAAGATGTGTCGTGATTTGCATTGCAATTTTCATATAATAATTATTTTTCTTTGGGAGCTACATTGTCCCCCAATGCAGGGTAATTTCATGCAAATATTTCTTTTTGTTTTTGAAATTAGTTTACTAACATGGTTCCCTTTGTTTTGGTTAATTCACACTCTATACCCCATCTTCAGTCCTGTCTCTCATCTCCATTCTTGTGTAGTCTTTCCCCCTCACCCCAGCATACCTCTCTATTCTTTCATAGCACATGTATTCTATCGCTCCAATTAATTTTGCAAATGGATTTTGAGATACTAGGCTTCCACAGATACACCTTTCCATACCCCCTTCCTTTGGATTAGCCTTCCAGCAACCCTTTAGCTTTATCCATACTTTTACCCCTTAAACCTTTCTCCCCTCCCCCCCCCCCCCAAAAAAAAATGTTTCTTTCTGGGTCTCTCTTGTTCTCCAAGTTTAATACGTAAAACAAATAATTTGAAGCTAGAATTTGCATATAAGAGAGAACATTCAGCATTTGTTTTTTTTCTACCTGAGTTACTACAGTCTAATTCTTTTTCTAAAAGTTCCTTGTATTTATCCTGAAATCATGATTTCATTTTTCTTTACTGATGAGTAATATTGCAATGTGTATTCATACCACAGTTTACTTATCCATTTGTGTGTTGAAGGACGCATATATGTTGATTTTACTTCCTACCTATTGTGAAAAGCGTGGTGGAGAACATTGAAATGCAAGTGTGTCCTGCAATAGGATATAGTCAGTTGAGTATATGCCTAAGAATCATATAACTGAGTCATAGCTGTTTCTGTTTTTTTTTTGGAAAAAAAAATTTTCCAAATGATTCTCAGTGAAACTGTACTAGTTGACATGCTCACACCAGTATAGAAGAGTTCCCCTCTAACTGCATCTGCATCAATATTTGTTGTCATTAGTTTTGCTGATTATAACTAGTTTGTTAATATATATGGTTCAGCTTTTTTTTTTAGTTTGGGACAAAGATTGTTATTCTGATTTCTATACTGCCTTCTTTCGTGTGTTATTTTTAAAATATCCGTTCAAATAGTAATTCACATTTGTGTAGCTGGCATTCACTGCCATTGTTAAAGTCCTACTTCACAGCAGAATCAAATAATACAACACTAAGTATGGTTAATATATGACAGAATAGAATTGGTCAACTAAATTCTTGCTATATAGAAGGTAAACCGTTGATAAGAAGCATTGACATTTCTAAGCTTATTAGAAATACATAGACTTTTGGAGCCTACCTGTACTAACCGAATCAGTATACATTGTACCAAGATTCCAGAGTAACAATGAAACAAAAGGAACTAGGAGCAGTTGCATCTTTAGGCATTTTATAGTCCACTGATGTCCTGTAGGAACAGACAGAAAGCTTCCAATGAAACATGAATTTCATTAGCAACAAATGTTCTTAACCACTGAGCCATCTATCCAGTCCCCAACTCTTTTAAAGAATATTATTCATTCTTGAACTCCAGCACCAACTCCCTTCTATTCTTTCCCTAAACCCATTCTTCTTTTTCCTTCGTGTCCT